AAAGGTTTTAAAAAAATCCGGGGGGCCTCAGAACCCTGGGGGTCCCTTAAGGTGGGGGGGGCGCCCTTCTTTTTTTCGGGGGCCCGGGAGGGAGGTTTCCCTCCCCTCTTTTCCCCCCCCCTGGGGGCCACTTAATTTGAAGGCTTTGTTTTTTTCCCTCCCCATAACCGGGATTTTTTGGGGGGGTGGGGCCCCCCCCCTACCAGGGGGGGGGGGGAAAAGGCCCCCCCCCCCCCCCCCCTCTGGATGCGATGTGCGCCTGCTCTTTTGGACGTCGATTGGGGGACGAATCGGGTCATTCATGTATACCTTCCTTCGTTCGGCTTTTCGACGAGCGCAAGTGCTTGAAGCAAAAGCCCAATAAGATGTGCCACTCTCACGCGTAGGCGATGCTTCGCTAATAGACTGGGGAGGAACTCCCCCCCCCCCCCCCTGTCTGTGTGGAGGAGCGACCACCTGTCAGTAAGGAATCGCCGTATTTCGACGACAGTAAGAAGAGAGGGCGCTCAGGTGGCGACCATAATCAACCGCCGTTCTGAGTTGCCGATAAAACTCGCCTAACTCTTTTACAAAACGGGCAAAAGTTGCTCAGCAACAGGCCGGGCCCTAACCAGCAGCAGCAGGGGTGGCGACAGTTTGCGCAGTGGTCGCACCCGGCGCGACGACGGCTCAAGGAGTAGCCGTGCCGCGCAATGCGCGCCGGCGCGTGCCTGCCGCTGCCGCTGCTGCTGCTGCTGAAGCTGCCTTGGCGAGGTGAAGCTGCCTCGGCGCAGCTAGCGCTTGCAGTGCCTGCGGCTGCAGGAGCAGAAACAGCAGCACTGGGCTGTGCCGCTGCCACTGCTGGCCGCGTCAGCACCCGTGAGTACAGCCAGGGGAGTAAGAGCTGCAGCGACCTCAGGGCAAAGATCGTGCCTGGCGGCTGTGAGAGATATTTCCAAATCTCGGGGTCGCATTGGGCGCGGCTCTGCCGCCAGCCCCGAGGAACAGGCGTGTTCTGCACGACCGACGGGATTGCCCGCAACCGGTTCTTGTGTCAGCCACCTTCTCCGCCCCAACCGCCCCCTCCACCCAAGACGCCGCAGCCAGGCGCACCTCCACTGCCCTTGCTTCCGCCACCTCTGCTTCCGCCTCCGCCAAGCCAACCCCCGCCGCTCCCGCCTTTGGCACCACCGCCCGAGTCTCCGCCGCCACCTTTGGCACCGTCGCCAGGGGCGCCGCCGCCACCGCCGCTTCCGCCACCATTATCGCCGCCAGAGGCGCCGCCGCCGCCAAAGCCAATGCCGCCGCCTTCGCCGATGCCGCCGCCTTCGCCGATGCCGCCGTTAGCACCGGGCGCAGAGGCCGTGCACGTCTGCTCTCTGAGCATGGGCATCGATAAGGAATCACGCCGGCAGCGTGCGCTTGGGGCGCTTGATCTGGAAGAGGTTGAGCATGCCGTGATGGAGGGCCTCGCCGCTGCAGGCGCTCCGATCTGCCACGACCAGCTGCTCGCAACAACCGAGCTCTCCGATGGTCCCACGTTGCAGATCAGCCACAGGCGTGCGCTCCTTAGCACTCACCTGGTGCAAGTGCGCATACAAGAGCACACTCTCGGGTGCGACGACCACCGGCGACATCTCCACGAGGTCACGGCGGAAGATATCGCGGCTGCCGCGGCTTCTCAAATCTTCTTGGATGTGGTGTCCACCGACCTAGACGCGCGAGTCGTCTTCACCGCTTCACCGATGGTGAAGCTGACGGTCATCCCGGCGCCGTCGCCGCCGTCGCCGCCGCTGCCGCCGCTTCCGCAGCCGCCACCATTTTTGCCGCCGCCATCCCCGCCACCACCGTACCCGGCCCGCCCGCCGGTGTGGCCACTCTACTCACCCAGACCCCCACCGTCGCCAGGGCCGCCACCTCACCCGCCATCGCCGTTCCCACCGCCCTTCCTCCCGCCGCCGTCACCGCCCCCACGGCCGCCGTTTCCACCTGGCCAGGTGCCAAGTCCGTCACCACCGGCACCGCCACCGCCACGGCCACCGCCGCCCTCGCCGCGGCCGCCGTCACCACCGCCGCCGCCGCCGCCGTCACCACCTCTGCCTTCGCCCCCGCCGCCGCCTCCGCCTTCGCCCCCGCCCCCACCACCATCACCTCCGCCGCCCAAGCCGCCGCCGCCGTCACCGAAGCCGCCGCCGCCTCCACCAACTCCTTTGCCTCCGTCACCAGCGCCGCGACCGCCACCACCGCCTTCGCCGCCGCCGCCACCACCGCCACCGTCTCCGCCCCCCCTGCCGCCGTTGCCTCCGGGAATGGTTCTTGTTTCACCCAGGCCGACACCGCCACCGCCCTCGCCGCCACCGCCACCCCCCCCGCCAGTTCCATTGTCTCCCCCACCTCCGCCACCGACACCACCTCCGCCGCCGCCACCCTCGCCCTCGCCCTCGCCGCCTCCGCCGCCTCCTTCTCCGCCGCCGCCCAAGCCGCC